GGCCCTTTGATCACCTCCTACAAATGAGATTCCACCTACAGCTGGGAGCATGGGGCTTTAATTGGCAGTCTCTTCTCCTTTTTACATTTGGACCCTGCTATTGGGATGTGTCTAAGGAATCACTAAGCACTAAGGAATCAAGTGTGCAGGTAATGATTGGATAAATCTACACACTGGCAGTAGTGTTCACATTTTGTCAGTACTACACTAGGAGTGCTAGACTTTTCTTCACCTGGTGCCCAACACTCAGCAGCCCACATGCGGCTTAGAGGGTATGAGCAATGGTTTGTGATATCTGGGTTCAAGGGTCACAGGGATCTCAGATTAAAGTAAGCTGATTTTTCTTCTTTTGAATACAGAGGTAAGGGGTTAGAATCCTTGTGAGGATTTATTGCTGCCTTTGCCCCCTGTGGGGAGACTCACCCTCTCGATTTTTCCTACTGGCCATTGTCAAGCTGGCTAAATGGGATAAATCCACAATTTAGAATTTTCATTGGAACAAAAATCGAGGGCAAATTTTCCAGTGGGAACACCTGTTGCAGTGACAACTGTTCAAAAGGGGATTTTCCTCAGAAAAAAATCTGCTTCCTGCCTACTAGACAGAAAGTAAAGGTAAATCTCTCTAGTTGGACACAGAGGTCAACAAAAAAAGTTTTTCTTTTACACCTTACATACACCTTGGGATCTATTTATTTAAAAAAAGTTATTGAATGAATGATACAAGCATTTGTCCAGCCCTCACAAATTCTGACTGCATTCTGCTTAATACATTGATTTCCTGTGATCATCAGCTCCATCAAGTGGCCATAAATCTGTTTTATTCCTGCAATAATTGAATCAGAAAAAATATTCATGGCCACTAGATGGAGCTGACAGTCATAGGAAATCAACCTATCAGGCGAAATATGTGCATGATTCGTGAGGGCTGGGCAAATGCTTGTGACAGTCATCTAATTTTTTTTTAATAAAGAGATCCCTTTAAAGTTCTGATTTAGTAGCTCCCTAACTGATGTCACATCCTGCCTTGAATTGCTATTGAAATTGGTTGCATTCGTTACCACCCAAAACACATTTCTGTTGTCATTTGGACTGTTTATATGATAAGTTGCATTTGGTTACCACCCATAACACATTCCTGTTGTCATTTGGACTGTTTATATGATAAGTCTAAGAATGCATTCAAGCAAATTTAATCTGCAGAAGATACTGGGGTTTTCTTTGAGTGATCTGTTAGTTGCTATGGTGAATGTATTCCAGTGAAGGTAAAGCTGCAGGACAGCACCAAATCTTTTCTTCCAGGTCAGTTTCAGAACAATGGACATAACATAGACATAACATGCATTTCTTGCATTTGTTACAGAATTTAAAAAAAAATCTAAAATGCATCTATTAAAAATGTCCTATCCCATGTAACATAATGTTCTCCTTTTTAATCAGGCTTTGCAAAACTGTTGTTTACAGTCTTTTTATTGCTAATATATTATCTGCAGTGATTAAGAAAGTTTATGTCTCTGCCTGCTAAAATGATCTACATAATCACGTTTGCAGATTCGCGTTGTTTAATTTAGCCGGTAGTGTTAACCAGGGCTTGTGCGGCTGTACACTAGATGACATTTCAACTGATTAAAATAACTTGGCTTGGTTGGTAAGTAATGTTATGTCATTGCACAGGAATAGTAATTTATGTCTTGCAATGATAAATGCAGAATGCTGTCATCCTATCTTGGAAATAATCATATTAATCATCCTGACTGCAAGTTTTTGTTATAAATAAACAGGGCCAGACCTCATACCATTTGATTGAGAAGAAAATATAATTTTCTTCATTCAGTTATACATAATGAAAACATATTGCTCAATATGGCTTATTTGGAAATCTAGTTATTAATAAAGATAACTAATTGTCTCTGTTATTAAGAGTTTAATTATAAAAGTCTGGCTTTTGCTACTCCTTGCCTAATTTTGCATAGCAAATCTTAGAGTTGTGTCCGCCTTCATCCATTCCAAATAAAAATACTATTCTTCTCCCAAATGTGGCACAGAGATAGATACTGTACATTATATATTGCATAATTGGAATCGGGCTATACAAAGTAGCTGAGAAATCATCCTTAAAGCTGAATCCCAGGTATGTATTTTATAGCATATATAGATTATTCCAACTTGGACCAATATAAATATGCATGTGCCATGCCTGCGGGATCCCTGTGGAAGCTGGACATCAGTGTAGTAGTCTCTGCTACTGCAGTGATTGCTGCTGTCTTCCAGGTCTCTCACTTGGCATGGCTGCCATATACAGAACACCTTGGATTTATGTCAATGAATGTTATGCATTCTCTGATTGGACTAGATGGACAACACCTCCACTTTTCCCAATCAGAGAATGCCTTGCGTTTAGTGAGAAAAATCTATGTTGTTCTGTCAATGAAGCCCGTGCCAAACTGGAAGCCACCTGTGTTTACTATGCAGTAGAGCAGCTGCTTGGCATGGACCTAGAAGACAGTGGACGATAATAGCTGTGATTATTACAGTGATTTCCAGCTTGCACAGAGATCCAACTGGTATGGCACATACTGTACATACTTACATTAGTCCAATGTAGCTATATTATAAAATCCATACCTAGGTTCCAGCTTTAAAGTTGAAATGCATGGCCACAGTCACCAACTTAAATAACAAGTGTCCAGTTATGCAGACAACTGAAAATCTTATACCGACACAATCAATTTATCGATTTCAGCACTTACCTGTTGTTTTTTTCACAGCATTCTGTATTTGAGCCCATAATTAGCTTTGCTTTGCACTCACAAAGCATTGGGTGTCTGCTTTGACGTAAAACTCTCTCCCTGAAATGAAAGTCCATTTGGTTGCAGAAGAGTATGGACACTTTCCTGACTGGGAAAGAACTTGAATGCCCTTACACTTCACTCTTAGCCTGTCAATCACTGGACATAAATAGCATGATGGGGGTGAGCAACACCATGACTTGCATGGAAACTGCAGTTTCAAGCACCAATAAAAGAAAAAACAGAGTTTGGACAAAAACATACATGGCACAATATATTCCATAGGATACATGTAGAATATGGCTGGTTATTACTTGATGGGATGTAACTTTGACCTTTTCATTGTAACTTTGACCCTTTCATTGCCAGATACATTTTTGTTGGTTTTTTTTTTTTGTGCATATGATAAAAGTCACATTTTAGACCAAAAGATTAGTTAAACCACCCACACAATGTATATTTTCTGAAAGCACAGACCCTAGCAAATTAAATGCTGTTAGTTTTTATGTCACACCATATTAATACAATAGTTTTCTATATAAAATACTCTAAAATTACTTTTACCAAATGCAGTACATTGCCCATTTTTTGTTAAAGATGAGGTTGCCCCAAGTAAATAGATACCAAACATGTCAATCTTTAAAAAAATGTGTGCAGCCATGAAATGGTAGTGTCAGGAATGGACTGGCCAGCAATGGTGGGACTCACCTGCCTTATGGGCTGCAGTACCAGGGCTGGCCAGCGGGTGCTCCCAGCAATCAGAGACTCAACCCTGCAGCCAGCCAACACCTGAAACTGCTTATGCAGGTGTATTTAAGGGATGGCCAGACCTGCAGACTCTGCCTTGGTGTGTGTTTTTTCCTGGCCCCTGTATCTTGTTCCTGCATCCTGCATCTGTTCCTGTCTTGTTGCTGACCCTGCTTGATCTGGACCTCTGCTGACTTCTCCTGTTCTGATCCCTGGCTTGTGACCCTGACCATTCTCTGCCTGACCCCCTGTACCTACCTGCCTGTTAGTTGCTGTACCCGGCTCGTGACCTGACTACTCTCTGCCTGCTCCTCCTGTTCCTACCTGCCCGTTTGTTATTGACCGGCCTGCCTGACGACGCTTGCATTGTATATATTGTTATCTGTGGGTGGTTTGGTTTGGTTCATTTGCACTGTGTTATGTTTTAGTATTGCACTGCGTTTATGTTTGTATTGTTAGTCTTGAATAAATTTATATTGTTTATAACTTATCTGAAGCCTGCGTTTCCCTGCGTCAGTCACATACCTCTGGTCACACCCTGGAGCCCTGACATTACACCAAGGCCAATCCTGACCAGAAGTGGCTGCACAGGGAAGCCATCTTGGCTTGTTGCTGGGAAGGATGGATCTTGATGAGGTTGTGTATTTATCTCTGCTAGTGTTTGATGACAGAGAGAGTATGCTTATCAAACTCTGAAGGAGTATCCCAGGGATGAACTGATAGAATGTATACGGATCGCTCATGTTCTAGTAGATCAGGGCACAGAATTCTCTGAGGTGCAGCCATTGATTCAGGTTTGTGCTGAGTTGGCTTCATCTGGTACCCCCGAATGCAGGGATGAATTTTTGCTGCCATTTAGTGCAGACCAGGTAGAGTCCCTGGTATGGTTATTAGAGGATGATGTGGATTACTTTCTGGAGCGTTATTCTGCATGTTCACCACAGGTATTAAGAGATTGTATAAACGCAGTGCAGTCTTTGGTCAGACAGGCTTTGTGTAAGCTGAGCTTTGTTCAACCCATACTGCAGACATGGACAGATTTGTTACACCCCAGCCTCAGTCAGCTTACAAAAACCCAGTCCTGCTTCTAATCTATTTCCTCAAAGCTCTATTCCTGCATTCCCAACAGCACCTCCAGTTACAGCCCAGTATACTTGGATATCTACCACATGTCAGTACCCTGTTCCCACTCGCTGCACCTATCCTGCCTTTAACCCTGTAAAGAAGCCCTCTGTAGCAACTGCTCCCTCCCCTGTTCCATCCTCCAGCTCTTCTCTGTCTCCAGCTGCTCCATTCGTTTGCAGACCTGCGTTTACTTGCAGTGCTCCAGTAGTTAAAAACCAGAAAAAAGCGAAAATTCTTTCCAACCAGTACCATCCTGCCAGTATCCAAACCGGTGAGCCTGCCGTCTGAGAACCTGCCTTCCGTGGTTCAGCCTGGTGCCTCGGCGCCCCGCACTTCAGCCTGATGTCTGTACCCAGCCTGATGTCTGTACCCAGCCTGATGTCTGTACCTAGCCTGATGTCTGTACCCAGCCTGATGTCTGTACCCAGCCTGATGTCTGTACCCAGCCTGATGAACTGATCCAGCCTGATGTCTGTACCCAGCCTGATGAACTGATCCGGCCTGATGAACTGATCCAGCCTGATGTCTGTACCCAGCCTGATGAACTGATCCGGCCTGATGAACTGATGCAGCCTGATGATCCTATCATGCCAGGTGACTCGATGCCCGCTGTTTCCGCCAGTTGACTCGGTGCCCGCAGTCTTGCCAGATGACTCGAAGCCCGCTGTTCCACCAGTTGACTCGGTGCCCGCAGTCTTGCCAAACGACTCGGAGCCCGCAGTCTTGCCAGACGGACTCGGAGCCCGCGATCTTGCCAGACGACTCGGTGCCCGCAGTCTTACCAGGTGACTCGATGACCGCTGTTCCGCCAGTTGACTCGGTGCCGCGCAGTCTTGCCAGACGACTCGGTGCCCGCAGTCTTGCCAGATGACTCGAAGCCCGCTGTTCCACCAGTTGACTCGGTGCCCGCAGTCTTGCCAGACGACTCGATGCCTGCTGTTCCGCCAGTTGACTCGGTGCCCGCAGTCTTGCCAGTTGACTCGGAGCCCACTGTCGTGCCTGGTGACTCGGTGCCAGATGACGCGGTGCCCGCTGGCGAGCCAAATGACCTGATGCCTTGTGACCCAGTGCCCGCTGTCATACCTGGTGACACCGATGCCCGCTGTCGAGCCAGACAACCCCATGCCTGATGACCCAGTGCCCGCTGTCATGCCTGGTGACCCGATGCCCGCTGTCGGGCCAGACGATCCAATGTCTGACCCAGTTCCCGCGGTCATGCCAATTGACTCAGAGCCCACTGTCGTGCCTGGGGACTCGGTGCCCTCTGCCTTGCCAGATGACTCGGTGCCCGCTGTCGAGCCAAATGACCTGATGCCTGGTGACCCGATGCCCGCTGTCCAGCCAGAACGATCCAATGTCTGACCCAGTGCCCGCGGTCATGCCAGTTGACTCGGAGCCCACTATCGTGCCTGGTGACTCGGTGCCTGTCGCTCCGCCTGGGGGCCCAAGACCTGTCGCTCCGCCTGGGGTCCGGCACCCGCCGCTCCGCCTGGGGGCCCGAGACCTGTCGCCCCTCCTGGGGGCCTGGCGCCCACCGCTCCGCCTGGGGGCCCGGCGCCCGTAGCCCTGCCTGGGGGGCCCAGTGCCTGCCGCTCCGCCTGAGGGCCCGGCGCCCGCCGCTCCGCCTGGGGGCCCGATACCTGTCGCCCGCCTGGGGGGCCCGATGCCTGTCGCCCCTCCTGGGGGCCCGGCGCCCGCCACTACAAATCCGCCTGGGGGCCCGGAGCCCGTAGCTTTACCTGGGGGCCCAGTGCCTGCCGCTCTGCCTGAGGGCCCGGCGCCCGCCGCTCCACCTGGAGGACTGATGCCTGTCGCCCCGCCTGGGGGCCCGATGCCTGTCGCCCCTCCTGGGGGCCCGGCGCCCGCCGCTCCGCCTGGGGGCCCGATGCCTGTCGCCCCGCCTGGGGGCCCGATGCCTGTCGCCCCACCTGGGGGCCCGATGCCTGTCGCCCCGCCTGGGGGCCCGGCGCCCCCCCGCCCCGCCTGGTGGCCCAGGGCCCCCGCTGCTCCACCTGGTGATTCGGAGTCCAGCCCCGATGTGCCGCTGCCCGGAAGTCCAGCCCGATGTGCCGCTGCCCGGAGTCCAGCCCGATGTGCCGCTGCCCGGAGTCCAGCCCGATGTGCCGCTGCCCGGAGTCCTGCCCGATGTGCCCGATGTGCCGCTGCCCGGAGTCCTGCGCGATGTGCCGCTGCCCGATGTGCCGCTGCCCGGGTGTGCCGCTGCCCGATGTGCCTCTGCCCGATGTGCCGCTGCCCGATGTGCCTCTGCCCAATGTGCCTCTGCCCGGTGTGCCACTGCCCGGAGTCCTGCCCGGTGTGCCGCTGCCGGAGTCCTGCCCGGTGTGCCAGTCTTTGATATTCCGCCATTTTACCAGACCCGGGCGGTGGAACATTTTGCCCAGCTAGGACTGTTTGGGGAGCGTCCTGAGGCCGCTCCTTGAGGAGGGGGGTACTGTCAGGAATGAACTGGCCAGCAATGGTGGGACTCACCTGCCTTATGGGCTGCAGTACCAGGGCTGGCCAGCGGGTGCTCCCAGCAATCAGAGACTCAACCCCCTGCAGCCAGCCAACACCTGAACTGCTTATGCAGGTGTATTTAAGGGATGGCCAGACCTGCAGACTCTGCCTTGGTGTGTGTTTTTTCCTGGGCCCTGTATCTTGTTCCTACATCCTGTTCCTGTTCCTGTCTTGTTGCTGACCCTGCTTGATCTGGACCTCTGCTGACTTCTCCTGTTCTGATCCCTGGCTTGTGACCCTGACCATTCTCTGCCTGACCCCCTGTACCTACCTGCCTGTTAGTTGCTGTACCCGGCTCGTTACCTGACTACTCTCTGCCTGTTCCTCCTGTTCCTACCTGCCCGTTTGTTTATTGCCCCGGCCTGCCTGACGACGCTTGCATTGTATATATTGTTATCTGTGGGTGGTTTGGTTTGGTTCGTTTGCACTGTGTTATGTTTTAGTATTGCACTGCGTTTATGTTTGTATTGTTAGTCTTGAATAAATTATTATTGTTTATAACTATCTGAAGCCTGTGTTTCCCTGCGTCAGTCACATACCTCTGGTCACACCCTGGAGTCCTGACAGGTAGTAAACCTCTGTACACAAAACACAACACTTTAAAGTGACTGTAAATATTCCCCTTTTTTAAAAATTTAAATAACAAACATGTCATTCTTACCTGTTCTGTGTTATGGTTTTGTACAGAGCAGCCTTGATCCTATAAGTGTGGGCTTGACCCCAGTTGACATCAGTTTAGAGTGATGGCTCTAGAATATTGATGTCATTCTAGCTTGCAAGCCAATATCTAATATGCGTGGTGCAATCAATATTTTTTTAAAACTTTTTTTCACTTAACTTTCTTGCTATCACGTAGGGGCTGATAAGCCCCCTATGTGATAGCATTATGCTGAGACATCTCTGAAATATCAGACGGTCTATTAGCTTTCCATTGAAGCTAATAGAGCACAGATCATACTCCATTCACTTCTTCTCCAGTCGCAGCGGCTGGAGAACGTGACAGCTAAAACTGGAAGTGACATAATCCTTGTTGCTTCAATGTTATTACCAGCTGGAGAAGTTCAGTGACAGACATTCACTGGTTTCCTTCCCCCCTGGTGACACCTGCCATGTTGGTTCCAGGCCTGCAGCTGGTACAGCAGAGTCCAAGAACATTTTCAGCACATGCAAAATATACCTGTTGATCTTGTCAGAAATGTAATATCCTTGTTAATACATGTGTGCTTAAAAGACAGACAGTATTATCTTTCCTGTGTAAATGACAGTAACACTATTTGTTCCAATATTGGTAATATGAGTAAAGGGTGAGGTATGGATCATGATATCCCCAAAGTCACATACATTAGACAAAGTCTCAGTCTCTATTGGATCTTTCTTAACCACATGCCCTGCTGAGGATTTACCTCCCTTCCTGACAGGGCATTTTTTGTGTTACGGGGTTGTGTTACTTTACCTGACAATTGCGTGGTCATGTAAAACTGCACCCAAACAAAATTTACATCCTTTTTTTTCCCCCACAAATTGAGCTTTCTTTCAGTGGCATTTGATAGCCTGTGTGTTTTATTTTTTGTGCTATAAAAAAAAAAGACCAACAATTTTGAGAAAATAACTATATTTTTTACTTTTTGCTATTAGTAAATACATTAGAAAAATCAAATTTCTTTATACATTTACACCAAAATGTTTTCTGCTACATGTCTTTGCTAAAAAAATCCCAATAAATAAATTAATTGGTTTTCGTGAAAAGTTATACTGTAGAGTTTACAAATGGCGGTATATATATTGTAATTTTTTTTTATTAGTAATGGCGACAATCAGCGACTTATAGCGGGGCAGTGGCGGACATTCTGACACTGGGGGGAACTGACTTGGTGTCACTGACATCCCCAATGACACCAACACCAATCAGTGCTGAAAAAAAAGCACTGACACTGTACTAAATGGCACTGGACAGGGAGGGGTTAACATGAGGGGCGATCAAAGCATTAACTGTGTGCTGGGGGTGCTTTACTAATGGGCAGTGTCAGTGTGTTTCATTGTAATAACACTGCTCTGGATGGCTGTGCTGTGCACAGCCATCCAGAGCAGTGAGCCCGAGCTGACAGGGAGGAGGACTGTTAGTAAACAAAATCAGAGATCTTTGGAAATCAGAGATCTTTGGTGCCGGCGAGTAATTACCAGCTGGGGACCCGGTGATAGGCGGCTGCGAATGGCGGCATGGGTAGGGTGCGTGCCCCCTAACCAGAAATGCAAAATCACGTATATACACGTGATTTTGCACATCCGTGCCGCCCTGTAACAGTATTTCTTCTATAGGGTGGATGGGAAGTGGTCAAAGTGCATGTTACCCTAAATATATATATTTTATTATATGTTACCCCCTTAGGGGTCGTTGGATATGAATTGGGTCCCCCTGTGTTCTGCACGGCCAAAGCACACACATCTTCCACAGCTTGCACACTGGAGTCAGCAAATAGTCCTTGAGCTTGGTTTTTGTGTTTTTTTTTATTAAGGATTTGAACCTGGAAGGGGTCTAGGGGTACATGGGATGCCGGGGGGAACTGTAGAAATTGAGGACAACTATGTACAAAAATGTGGATTAGCAACAGTCTCTGTTGGAAGAGCACTAAAGGCTTTCTAGTGTACCTCTTCAGACCCTGTATGATTCCTTCTCCTCACCCAGCTGCCTGAGGGTATCCCTGGGAAAGGAGCCCAAGAGTTGTCAATTTAGGACAACCCCAAATGAGAAGCTACTTGGGTCTTGCACTTAACTGCCTCTCCCCTTATTTGGCCCAGGGGGTGTAAGAGTACTCACATTGTCCTCTTCTGTTAGCTTAGTGGGATGGTGGCTGCCTTCAGGCCTTATGCTGGGCTGGCTCCTTCCCTGCTCCACACGCTGTCCTCCCCAGGAGACATTAAGGCAGTGAATCCTCTTCTCCATTGACCTGCCTGTAGGTAGGCTCCCCTCCCTGGGGCCCCCTCCCAGGCTGCTCACTCCAGCCTTCCCCAATCCATCTTCCACCTGACACTGCACACCTCACCCCAGGCTCTGGCACATTTGAGGGTTGCTTTGGTCACCTTGCCCAGCCTCCTGCCAGGAGATTGGCCAAGGTCCCTCAAACATGCAGAGCTGGGCCTCCTCCCCTCTTCTCCCCTGCTCCAGAAAGCTATCAGGTTTCTGGAAAGGCAGAAGCCCTGACCTGTTAGAGCCTCCCAACCTGTCTTAAGGTAACCTAACTACCCCACTCCCAGGCTGACTCATCCCCAGACTGCTACTCAGCCTCTAGCAAACAAAAAAAATTCCAAATGAACCTGGTGGCTGTTACTTCTTTACATTTTTCTATGTGTGTGTTCACATATGTGTATTTTATAAATCATAGTCATTTTCATGTACTTCTTCCATCTGAAGTACCTTGTTTTAAAATGACTCCAATCTGTGTTTGCATGATCAGTTCTCATCCTTTAGAGGTGCAGGACACTGTGCAGGTACACAACATGCCTGTGTTGGGTAGTTTGTTCAGTCACCACATCCCCTTTCCTATCAAAACTTGCCTCTGGCACACCTACCAAGCACAACCTGGAATACAGGCACTTTGGGCTCAATAGTTATAGCAAATAGTTTTTTTCCTCTTAAAATCTTTTTGCAAACTTTTTTTGCAATTCAGAAAAGAGCTACTAAAATAAAGTATGAGTTATTTCATCAAACTGTGAGGTATTTTGCTCAAGAAACCATTAAGTATTTTATCTCATGACATGACATCCAGTGGGATGCAGTGAAGAAGGATTAGAACTCCTGTCAGTTTTTAGTTCTAATAAAGAGGTAAAATGGTTAAAATTGTAGAAATATGCCAGCTCACTAAGTCAGTGCAGTCCCTGTTGCATATGTATTAAGAAAAAGAAAAAAGGTGACTGGAATACCGGTCAAAGGGAAGGATGCTTTCACAGGACACGTGTCAAAAACAACTAAGGGTAAAAGACAACGTTGTCATCGGAGAGGTTTCTGTAACACAGCCAAAAGAGCAAGTGAGAGGAAATTCCTACAAAAATAAAAGAATCCCTTGGGGACCCTCAGGTCATCAGAACTAGTGGTCCCATTAGAATATTTCTCCTCTATTACTTTTCTGGGGACAACCCAAAATTTGGGATTTTCTTTTACATGGTGTTATTGTTGTGCCTAAATAACACCATGATTTGGTGAGTGTGCAGTCTGATCGGGTGATTGTCACCTAAAGAACACGGTGGTGCTGGATTCAATTTCATGAATTACAGAGACTTTCCTTTTTAAAGGATCTATGTGGTGG